GCTGCATCTGGCAAATTTCTTCCAAAAGTGTTTCAAAGTGTTTTTCTCCATTCTCAACTCTTCTTCAACTTCAATACCAATTTTCAATTCCCAATGGGCATTCAAAATAGAACTTCAACTTGACATAGAATTCCAATAGTATTCCAAATTTGAATTCTTCATAACGTTCACTTTAATTGGAATTTTTCAATTATTTCAATAAAGAATTCGGGTCACACCCAAATTCTAACAGTAACAATGAAATTTATAATGTGATAAAAGAGATTATTACCTGATGAGGACAATTGTGGTCACCGAGACAATAATTTTGTTCAATAATTATTGGGTTTTCGACGTTAACCATAACAATATGCTAGAAAAGAACATATTTAACAAATCCCTTGCTTGACCTATCCCATATCTTTACCCTCACCCCATTTTGTCTTCCTGTAAATGTAGCTGACTTCACTGTCAAATGTAGCTGACTTCACTGTCACATTTTGCACTCTAGGTTCTTGCAGTTGCCACCCTAGACTCCCAATGCTGCAAAAATCACACAAATTAATCAACTTAGGTATTAATAAGTACTTAATTTATAGCACACATTCGGTAGGCAAATAAATCACTAGGATGCATATTATATATGAAGTGATAAAAACAAGTACCTTATTCCATGGCCAGGGCCACAGGCGACGTTTTCGATCTACGGGTTGGAGGTGCCGGGGCCTACAGAGACAAAGTCACCGCCGGTGCCAATTTTTGACACCTGTGGATTTCTCCACATGAATTCCATCCGTGTTCGGGCTATTTCCTAGCGCTGAAATCTTCATTCCCACCAGCTTGGCGTTTTGGCTTCCATAAACCAGAATGTGGAACTTCTAGCTATTTATTGAAGATAATCCATTGATCATGATGTTTTTTGAATTGTAGAATGCCAGTGTCTGTATTGAAAATACAATCACAAAGTACATTAGAATTTTCATGCAAGTTTACTATACAATCATTTATACATGTTAACTTAAGTAGAATGAACTAATTATGTATCTAACATGCAAAGCTAACTAGAAAACTATTTCAAATGATAAGTCCACTTAGAAAACTATTTCAAAGGATAAAGTCCACTTAGAAAACTATTTCAAATGATAAAGTCCACTTTCTTCTTTATTTACATACCATTGCTTCGGTTGGACAACTCTTACCGGAATTCTTGCAAGCCCACAAATTAGCCCCTTGGCCATCTAGGGTTCCACCAATGACGGAAACTCCGGTCACCAGGGGCGAAGCCCAGTAAGGCCCAGGGTGGGCACAGGCCCACCCTGAACTGTTGGGCTCAAAAATTTTTTTTTTTTTTAAAGTTATAGGCTAAGTCCACCCTGAACTTCTGGGCTCAAATTTTATTTTTTTTTTAGTTATAGGCTAAGTCCCAGCCCAAGAGAGAAAGCCCAAAATAGCAATATATTATACCCAACTGCCCAAGCCAAATCCCAATCCCAAAAATTTAAACCTCGTTCACAAATCACAACTCCATCCTCTGCAGCCTGAAGCCTCCACTTCGCCTCCACAGTTCCACTTCGCAGCCTGAAGCCTGAACTGAAGCCCTCCACTTCGTAGCCTCCACTTCGCATGCGGCACGCAGCCTCTGTCCGAGTCTCGAAAATATAGAAAACATGGGAGATTTCAGATTTGGATTGGAGTAGAATGGTGGAGCATTTGATAGGTTGAGAGAGAGAAGAGCGGTTTTCTTACCTGCTTCGCCTCCGTGCGACGGTCCCAACGATTTTTCTACTTCATCCTTCGAAAATCGGCTACAGTAAACTACTATAAGTTTGATTTTATCTTGGGTCTTTTCTATTATACTAGCTTGGGTCTTTTCCCCTTTTTGTTTGATTTTAGCTTGGGTCATTTTATATGATTTTGGTGTTTTTGAATACATATTTGTGATTTGATTGTTATAAGTTGCACATATTCAGGTTCAATTGTGTAGAATGTTGCACTCTGTGTTTTGCTTTTTCCATAAATGATAAACCGTTTGAATGGGACACCGTGGTAGACGAAGAAGATGGCAATAACCTGACATTTTCTGGGAAATTTAGTTTGGCTTTGTTGCCTCTGAAACTTAAAGTAGCCTCATGGCCCTCATCATATGCTCTAGCAGCATCCTCTGCAGACTGCAATGTCAAATGTGCCTAACCAAACTCTTGTAGCTTTATATGGATTTCTTATTGTTGAAATTTGGGTTTTGTTGAAGCTCTTTATTGTTGAGATTTGGGTTTTGTTGAAATTGCCTCTGTTGTGCTTTTATGTGAATTGTTATAGAATTGTACCTATCAATTACAACCAAAAATTTGTGAATTGTTGAAATTTGTGTTTTGTTGAATGTGCTTCATAAAATTGTTATAGAATTGCACCTATGAATTTCGGTAATATTATTTTATATTTTTATCATCATTAAATTCATAATCAAAAACTCGACGTTCAACATCGATAAATTGTGCCCACCCTGAATTACAATCCTGGCTCCGCCCCTGCCGGTCACTCTTTCGAACTTGATCTAGGTACCAGAATTTCCAATAACGTTATAATTAGATGGAGCTACAAGAGTGCCATTAATGCGCATATTTATAGCCTGATTCTTGCATGACTGGCCGGAAAAAGTTGCTGTGTGGAGAAAGTATCTTCCCAGCGGCACGTATATGGTGTCCGCCTGTGTAGAGGCACAGGCTGAGTTCCATGCTGTCGAGAATGCTTTTGCGGAATCAGTTTTTCCGTCAGGTTTTCTCACAATGTTTGAACATTGTAATTACCGTTGGCTGCAAGTGATGAGTACTGAAATGCAGTGATGAAAAAATGGAAAGCAAGAAAACTCAGTAAGCTAGCCATTTTGTGTATACGAGAGCGATGCGATGGAATTTAAGAGCGATTTATAGGCTTTAGTTTGTGAATTTAAATTAGATTTGGTGATGTTTACTGTTTATTTTTGACAAACAAAACCTGTTTGGAGGAATAAGAATTTCATGCTATTTAGAACATGGAATCAGTAAGTTCTGGCTCGAGAAACAAATGCACCTGCGAGCACATGATTGAGGCTAGAGAAAACAAAATTCTCATAATTTTCCTGTCTTTTTTTTATTATTATTATTTTTAATTTTGAATACATCACCATGTCCCCAAAATCCCTGAGTTGCTATTTCTGTTCTGCGACAAATTTCCGTCTATGATCACAATATTTTAATATAGCTGAAACTCTATTTTCTTGTATTTTATATAACTCGTCACCAAATTTATATAATTGTAAGTTCTTGCTTATCAATATTTGTCTAGAAAACTCACCAGAATAAAGAATAACATATTCTTGAAATAAGTTTTTTTTTCCCCCTTAAAATCGGTTCATAATGATAAGTTTATTTTGTACACTTATCTAGCCATTAAATTGGAGTATTTGTTGGTGATTTGGATAAATTATAGCTTAATTATGTATTAATGATATTTGTTCAATTGAACACAATGTAAATTGGTGGAATTAGAAAAAATGAACGAAGAATGCAAAAACGAAAGAAATTCAAAGTTTGGGAACCAAAGTTTAAACATTTAATAGTTGATTCGGACCATAAAATGATGATTGAACATCACATATGATCAATTGGATATAATTGGAGGTCAACTGAGTAAAATATAGTTGAAGAATTTTCTCAGATCAATTTTTAGTCTCAATTTGAAACCCATATTTCGGTTAGCAAAAATCTGAATTAGAAAAAATGTATTCTAGAAGAATTGAAGCCCTCTGAGTCAAATTTTCAACACACTTTGAATCATCTCAATCGGATATACATAGAGAAATTTATGACCAAAATACCGACAACTGCTCAGGGACAACACCGCATAAACTGACACTCGCAAGGACCAATTTCGGAACTCGCACGAGACATTGTTTTCCCAACCCGATAACAAAATTACTCAATGGCACGCATGCGATGGGTATGCCTGTGTGCACGACCAGGCCATTTTCACAATGAATCAACAATTTCCTTTCGCAATTCAAACTCTTTTGGAACTCAAATTAGACGCGATTTTTGCATAGTTCTCAACCCTTATAAATAGAGAACAAGTGCTACACATTGAAAAACCCTCTCTTGCCTATTCATATACAATATTATCATCAAACTCATCAAGAACAAATGACCAATTACTATATTTTGAAAGATGAAATCAAACTTTATCAAGGAATTGAAGATCAATTATATCAAGATTTTGAAGAATTCAACCTTAGAATTGAATATCAACACTTTTTTTGGATTATTTCATGATCCAGATGATATTTTTCAATTATTCTTCTTGTAATTTATATATTCAAGCTAGATTCTTTTTTTTTTATTGGATGAAGATGAACCATGTTTGTTTTTTATTTCTAATTCAAGACTATAGTTTAGTATTTCTTGTGTTTTTTGATTAATTTTGTGTATCTATTGCATTATTTAATTGATTGGCCACATACTCACAAAAAGTTCAGAACGCGGCAAAATTAACATATGTGCAATAGATGTTAGGAATAATGTTTATCACATGTCCAGTCATATAAATAATCTAAAATTTAATGTATTCTAATAATTCGATTAGGAATAGACTCGGGTCATGATTAGAATATAGTTAATTTATAATAAAGCTATTTGTACAAAGTTGAGTTACAAAAGTTGGATTAGTAGCCGGGAGGATTAATGGTTAATAATAAAAGCAATAAAGCTACTTATACAAAGTTGAGCTACAAAAGTTGGGGTATAAAGTGTGTTGGCAAAATTCAGACCATTGATTTGAAATGATTTAAAATTCTATTTTTAAAATAATTGATGTAAATATTATTTTGTCAACCGACTTTGTACACGTAACATAATTCTAAAAAAATTACACTTGCCAAACATGCAATAAAGTTCAGTGTCCAACTGTCCATCAGTTCGGATTTGATAGCCAAGGATCCTAAAATCTGGCCGCCGAAAACCCTAAACACTAACGCAGAAAAACTGAGAAAAATGGCTCTCTCTAGAGCCCGCTTAGCTTCCTCTACACTGTTCCGATCCATCCTGCACCGTCCTTCCCAATTTCTCTCTACAAGTAATCCCCTCTCACACACATACATATATCTGTGCACGAATTGGGTTAATATAATGCTTTAAAATTTTCATTATCGTGTGATATGGTGGACTCTCTTGCAGGAGCAATTGGGTCGGCGGAGTCGGGAGAGTTTTCATCGATGATGAACCAGATGTTCACGATGGACCCCAGCTCTCAAATTGGGAGTTGCATGCCACTGGGTATGATGCGAATCGGTACCCATATCCATAATATCGAGATCCGACCCGGACAGGGAGGGAAATTGGTGCGTGCTGCCGGGACCTCTGCGAAGATCCTCACTGAGCCCAGTAGGTCGACCAGGTAATGGGAGACAATCTATTTGTTGAAAATGTAGTTAAGTTCTTTTACATTGCGGAGAAAGATTGGACAAGGAAATAGGTGGCCAGTTTTAGTTGTGAAGAACATAATTACTTGTTCAATGCTGATGATGGAAGAAATGTAATGGAATTGGTAAAAAGTGCGTAAACACTTGCTTATATAGAAGGTTGAACAGGTAATGAAAGGTGAATTTTGATGAAGAATGTAGTTGAGTCATGTTATTGGTGAAGGAAGAAAAATAAGGGAAATTCTGAAATGTCCTAGATCAGAGTCGTACTATCGTTGATTTGGTGCGTGATGCTTCATTAAACAGGCAGTTTTGTAAAGGGTCGGAGGCTTATATAATTAAAACCAGTAGATCATTATGAGCCTAAAAGCTTATACTTTTAGTGACCTTCGTCATTGCTTATGCCTTAACTTATTAGAGTGAACGCCTAAGAGTATAAACCTCAGGTGGCAGAAGCATTCATTTGTCATTCCTGACCTCTGGACTTCTTTTTAATCTTAAAAGTTTTTTTTATTGATCTTTTCGTATCCTAGAACAGGTATTGTTTGGGTTGTTTTAAACACGGTCATACTCTAAGAACTAAATTTGAAAAGAATTTGATATAAAGAAATGACAAATTGAAGAAGTTGTGTGCCTAGTTCTCTTGATCCAACAGTGGAGTGCAATCTCTCAACGTAAAGTTGCAATGTATTGGCACTTCACAACCGAGGATGGGGGCTTGCAACTCAATCTCTATGTTTAATTTTTAGTTCTCTGTTTTTGATCTATTTCCTCAAAGTTTTATTTCCTTTTAATGTTGAAGTAAACAAAATGTTTGTAGTTGACATATTGTCATTTCTTTTAGACTTTTAGTTCTAGCTGTAAAGTAGTAATTTTGTTAAGTGATTACTACTTTGTCAATTTATTAATTTTTATTTGCTTATTTTATTGATTCATTTTATTTTATTTTATGCAAATTAGACTGTTTTTAAATGCAATACTTTATTTTAGATAGATTTTTAAGAAGATTCATGGTTTATTATGGGTGCAATTTTTCATTTTAGTTTTCTAATTTTTTTACTGGGATTTATTCCTAAGTGCGCAATGGCATTTATGCAATTTCTTAGCTGCACTATGTGCGTAAACATTTGAATACTGCAAGAGTGTGTTTGGGACACATTCTTTTGAAATAATGTATTATTGAATANGAGTGTATTTGGGGCACATTCTTTCGAAAAAATGTATTATTGAATAGTAGATTGATGGAGAATGTGTGGTTTAAAATGAAGGAAAAATTATTGCTGTGATGGAAAATATTATTTTATTGAAGAATGTGTGGTTAAAAATGAGTAGAAGAATGAGAATGAAAAAAATAATGTGTATCAAACAGGGCATGAATGTGGAAAGGGTATTTCATGTGTCAAAAATGCAATAAATTTTTTTTTTTATGAAGAAAAAAATAGATAAAAGGTGCAGGAGCAATGGCAGAGGTACAACTTTAAAAGACTAGTGAATAGTAAAATCTTCTGCATTATGATTCAAATTCATTTGAGTAGCAATGAAATGCTTTAGGGAATATGTGTCCAAGCTTTTGTAATGATTTTGTGCAATGAAGAATAAGGTCTCTGGCAAGTTGTGCTAGGCATTAGTGTCTAGTACAACATAAGTAGCATGGATAGCGCATAAATACTGTTACCTTTGCAAAGTAAGGATGCTGTATGTAATTCTTCAATGGATTTGGCTTGCTCGAGGAACTTAATTATTGGACATTGATATGCCTCGGTTGTTGCATACTTAGGAAAATGAGATACAATGTAGAACAAGAGATGATGCAACTTATGTGTCAAGAGTTTTAATTTATGAAGTAAAATTTACAATGCAGTACGTGGAACAGGTGCATTTTTCACTTTATGTAGTAGTATGCTTTGCGTATTTGTACAGCCTGCTTCGTAACAATTTGATAGCTTTGTACGTTTGCACTCTTTAAAGTACCTTGGCAATCTACTTATTGCGCCAGTTTTACGTCATAGTTGTACCTTGCTCTTTGCAAGGAAGTACTTTTGGATTATGATGCTCGGACTCTCCAAAAATGGAGAAGTATCCGTGTTAACACGATATGATACAGATACTGATAGGGGATATGAATCGGATTCTTTGTTTTGCACTTGGACACGACAGCGAAAGGGAGAAGAGGAGTTGGGAAAGGCGGAGGAGTTGCAGAAAAAATAAAAAAGACTGGAGGAGCTGGGGAAGACGATTGATATTTTCCCTAATTTAATGTGTGTTATGGACTCAATTTTTAATGTATTATATGGGCCTTGTAAAAATGGAGTTAATAAAATTACAATTATTTTATTAGGATTAATTGTATGATCCAACCCATTTAATTTAAATTTATTTCTGTATTAAAATTTTTATTTCTTATATTTTATTTGTGAGCTTTTTATTTGGTAATTAAAATAATTTAATGTTATATTTTTTTTATAATATATAAGACATTGAAATTGATTTTTTAAAAAAAAAAATTATTTTGACTTTAAATTTAAATTAATTTCAAATTTAATTCAATTGCCTAAATGAATTTTATGATAAACAAATTGAACTACGAGTTTATTTTTTGACGGCCAGTATCATAAATTTATTTACAAATAAATGAAATTTAAATTGATTTTATTCAAAACGGTTGTCCAATACTTATATTTGAGTTCCTTGATGTACTAAATTTTTTTATTAGTATTTTTATTTATGTCAATATTTTAAATAGTGATTGAAATATCACAAATTCAGTATTATTAATTATAAAACTGGAGACCCATATCCAAAATTCGGATTCTTTTTAATCGTATCCCCATATCTTAATTTTTAAAATGAGTACTTTGCAATTCGCTGATTGGGCATGGCAAGGTGCAGCCTGTTGAGAAAAATATTCAATTTCCATCTCTACATTCGTTCTGCAATCATGCTTCTTATTATTATGTTTCTACTGATTGGTGCTTTTATTTATGTAGTTGAGAAATTTTGATTTTGTTTAGGTACTGCGAGATAAAATTGCCATCAGGAGCCAAGAAACTTATAGACACGAGATGCAGGGCAACAGTAGGGATGGTATCGAACCCGGAGCATGGGAAAAAGAAGTTGAGGAAGGCAGGACAGAGCCGATGGTTGGGTCGGAGACCAGTGGTGAGAGGTGTGGCTATGAATCCTGTTGATCATCCACATGGTGGTGGTGAAGGAAGGAGTAAGAGTAGTGGGAGTCATGGTCGGGGCTCACGTACCCCTTGGGGGAAGCCTACTAAAGGTGGTTACAAAACTGGCCCACTTAAGAGAAGGAAGTAAAGATAACATGTAATGAGGAGGGATTGTCTTTTACTATTTTATTTTTAGTTTGTGTTGTTAAATAGTATGTACTTCATTTCTAAGGGAATGTACTGGACCAGAATAATGTACATGTGCTTTGATGTTGAAGTTGCTAGAATTTTTCAGGCATTATCAGTTAAAAACAATCCTATATACTATTTTTTTTAATATTTTACTGCTCAAGCAATTTGAGGTTTCTTAGTTCTTTTGTCGTCGTTTCTTTTGAATGTGATACCGGTTCTCATGTAATGACATAATCTCAATCCAGGGGCTCATTACTGATGGGAGTAGCTATCATTCTTGGATTTGGAAGAATGTTGACATTTCTTTCTACTTTGTTTCATGCATCATGTATGCTAGAATTTTCACGTTCCCAGATTTGGTTTCTATGTTACTGAGATCATTCCATGTATTTTTAAGTTGCAATGTAACTGTACAATATTTGGTTTGCTTTTTAATAGGTGATTAGATCATCTTTAACATGCATTTATGATATTTTTTATGCTGGAGAGAAGTATATAATCAGGTACAAGAATACATGCATCTGAACTGTCAAGGCTGAAATACTTCAGTATCTGAAGTAATGGTTAATGACGAATATATTTAGTTGTGTTGCTAACCAATATATGAATATATATGTTGTGATTTTTGGAGGCATTTAATTTTTATATTTTCTGTTATAGGCCAAGGAGGATGCATTTTGTGTGAGACATGCTGTAATAATTTATCTGATATTTCAAGAATCTTATTGGAAATAAGCTCCCTTCTAATTTCTTAATACACCTGCATTACAACAGGTCTGTTCTCTTCCCCTGTTATAGAAAAGTTTGATAGGCAGGGAATCGTTTTGCCAGAAAGGAAAAAACTTTTAGTGTGCATGCATTGTTTCATTTGTATGTCCTGGTGTTTCTTTGTTATTTTTTTCTGAAATTGAGAAATCATGGCCTAAGCGAAGTAGAGGATTAAAATTTGGGTTCCCTGACTAAAGGCTTTGCCAATCAGCATATGGTAATCTGCTGGTTTTAGGAGCATCATTTTGTTGAACTTTGTCTTGCAATGTTCTATGCAAATGCCATTTATAGCCCATCAAAACAGAAAATCACATATTTGCGGATGCATGATTGCTGAGATTTCAAAACTAGAGATTTGATTAAATTTGTTTATTACTTCTGATCTTGTTATGTAAAATAGATATGTGTGTATTTATAAGACATTAGGAAAATTCGAAGAGAATGATTTTAGCTGTCTGATGAAGGCTTATATGGCCAAATGCTCTCCTTGTCTAGTGGCAAGAGGAATGGACTCTGCTTGAGCGTATTTTTTAGGGTTGTGCAAGTTGAAAATATCAGTAATTCGGTTGTATTTCTGCTAATTGTCTTTTTCTGAACAGATAGCATCATTTCTGCTGAACATGTGTTATTTAGGACGATGTTTTATGTTAGAGGGGACAGATACTGAATGGCTGTGGTTATACATGACATAGGAAGGCTCACAATAAGGGATGGGGAGACTTCTAGATCTACAATGCTTCCAAACTAACATAGCTTTTGAACTCGATCCCGGCAATAAATTGGAGATCAACAGGACGGTTTCTAGTTGAAGTTGCTGGTTGATCTGAGCATTGGGTCCTGATTTTTAATGATACGGTATTTAGCTTATAATCAGACTGAGACTTGGATAGGTTGTCAACTTCTCTAAGTCATCAAGGGGGACTTGTCCAGTTTTTTAAACATTGCAAATTCTTGGTGAGCACATTAGATCTTTTACTTCAGGATTAACAAAGAAAATAATAGGTTGTGATCCAAACGTTGTGTACCTTGTGTTTTCTTGCCCAAAAGAGTATCGGTGGTATGTAGTGTTTTCTTGACCTAATTTCGCCTTTTATATAGTTCTTGGTTTTGCTTGAATTCGTGCATTGAAGAATACACAAGTGCTCTTATTTTAAAATCCAAAAATCAGACTTTTAGGCTTGGTCGGACATCGGGTTGCCCGCCCCAAGCATTGAGGCGGGCAAGGGCAGCAAATATACCCCCAAATTCTCCCAGGATGACCGCCCTCTACTTTTCAGCTTCTGTATGCTTTGGTTCCAAGTTCGTGGTTTCCATTCATGAGTGATCAAGTTGATTCTCAAACTTTCCAAACGTTGAATTTGGTCCGGAAACTTGCAAATTCATCCCATTGGCACTTACAATGCTTCCAATCTAGCCCAAGCTTCCCGGTTGCTCTTCATCAATTCCATCTTTACAAATATGAGCAGAAATCCGTCCATTTAATTAATAATGCACAAATATTGTAGTTGAGATAAGCTTGGAAAACACACTTGTCAAATATTTGCTTCCCAAACAACATTTTCTATTGGCATCAGCAAATTGATTTTATCAGTCCAAGAGGAAAGGAAAAAGACTTCTCTTTTTGTCAAAGTAACACCAGCTATCTTTGGATTTTATGGCCTCCAATTATTTCGAGTTCTTTCCAAATTTTCACCTTTATTTCTGAAATAATATTCGTCCTAGCTACTATCAAGGACAAGTTACAGATTCAGAAGTTTTGAAACAAAAATTTCAACGTTCGTAGCAGAACTTCCACCTTTATCCACGGCCTCTTTAGCCAATTCCTTCCACTTACCAGCACTTTGTTTGAGCTTCTTCCCTTTTTCTCCTTGAATAACTTGTTTTATGCACATTTCAATTTCTTCTCTTCTAACTAACCCATTTTCATCTGCCTTGGTGCGTATCCCTACTCTAAATACATCCTCAATAAGTTTCGCATTAGTCGTTTGATCTACACACTGTGGCATGGCTATAAGTGGAACCCCAGAACTCAATGCCTCAAGTGTAGAATTCCATCCACAATGTGTCATAAAGCACGCTACAGCACGATGAGTTAAGACTTCAGTTTGGGGACACCAATTCACCACTAAACCTTTCTCTGAAGCCATGGAAGTGAAGTTTTGCGGAAGTTTATTCTCTTCTGAAGATCTGACTACCCATAGGAAGTAGCAGTTGCTCGTTATTAGGCCCTGTGCTAGTTCTTCCATTTGCTGTTCTTTAAGGCTGGCCACACTTCCAAATGAGACATAAACAACAGAACCAGTTTCTCTCGAGTCTAGCCATGTCATGCTTGCTTCATAATTTAGTTCAAATAGATTAATCTTATGGTTCTTTTCGGTCATGAGTTTCTTTCCACAGTATGTTAACGAAAAAGTTGGTCCAACAGTCTTAAATGGCCACTGGCTTACCATCCAGTTAAGTACCTGATACAAACATAGCAAAGTTTGTAAGATACCAAGGGAACTTATCAATTGTTTGACTAATTAAATTTCCACATTCCTTAATTCCATTACAATTTAGGATGTAGTATTTCAAGCTTAGTTCCTTGGGAGAGCAAAAGGTCGTAAAGATTTCATAATACACTTGTGCTCGGTACTAATGGCTTATAGAGCATAGAGAGGAAATGAGGTGGGCAATGTGCTTCCTGGCTTTACCAAGAAAAGCACTGCTATAATATTTATGTTGCATGTCAAACCCCGACCTAGGCAAGCAGTTAAGAGAAGAGTATATTTTCCATACTACTTATAAGGAGGTACGCAAAACTGACCTTTCACAAGCATGGAAGTTTTACTCCCTATCTAATCTGACAGATTTTATACTTCGTGTTTGGGTTGAAATCTTCTTCCTAAGGCCTTTTTTTTTTTAATTTCCTGCAGTTAACTTGGCCTTTGTCTGAAATAAGCTACTCAAAGCATATACATTCAACTTGTTTTTACCGTGAATTCTATAAAAATCTACTCTGTTAAATATGATTGATGAGTTCTCAATTGATATACATCCAGTTTTCTATGACCTCCAAATAGGTCTGCTTTAAATTTCTTATTATGATGTACACATTTAAATGTCTTTACCTCACTTTCCAGCTTGTCGAACGTGTTGATAAAGATCCAATCGGCTGCCTCCAGATTTGAGAATTGGTCAGCAAGAAGCCTCACGACAGTATTATTTGGATCCGGGATAAAGGAAAAATAAGGTAAATCGTTGGCCTCAAGTGGAGTCATGGAAGGCAAAAATATCTCTGAATCTTCATAAGGATATTTTATCAACCCTTGGTGTATATGATAGTAAATAGCACAAACACAACTAGCCTGAGTGAAAAATGAAGCTCCAAGTAGACCTTCCTGGTGTGCTACATCCAAAGCCCATGGAATGATCGAGTCATACACTAGAACTTTAGCCGGGCAAGTCTCTCTTCGTTCTTGAATGAACTTGGTCAAGTTCTGTGAAACTGCTGCATTGAACTGCTTGAAGAAGTCTTCGATGCTTTTTGATTCCTTGGCTTCCTCTGAGCCATCAGAGATAGTTTCAACATTAATTGAGCTATTCAATGGAATTTGTGCAGATTTTATAACGCGGCTGGTTAAAATGATGGTTACTTTTAGACCATGTGATGCTAGGCATTTGGAGAACTCCAGTGCTGGATTTATGTGGCCTTGTGCAGGGAAAGGGAGGACTAGAATATGAGGCTTATTATCAGCCATTTCTTCTTATCTGTCGTGCCTTTTTTCTTTTCTTGTTATATGCTCATTTGCAGTTTGCAGGGTAGAATGGGAGGGTGATATATAAATATTTTGTGTAGAGGAGATGGATTTTGGACGGTAGTACCCATTGGGAGTTACAAAGTTCCCCAACTTAGCATAGTATGGGAGGACCTGGCCTTTTGTATGGCAATTAAGGGGACAATAATTTGATAATTCCTAAATAAAATGTCTGAAAAGATGTCGAAAGCCATAGTATTTCTCGAGTTTCAAGCACGTGAGAAATTATAAATATGAAAAAATAAAAGGGGTATCAAATTCTACAAAAAAATGAGTTATTGATTTTAAATATGAGAAGTAAAACTAACCAGCTTATGGCCTCTTTCTCATCTCCTCAGATAACATGTCGATTATGCTCCCTTGATAAAGATCAATCTGGAAAAAAATACTAAAGGCAACAACAAGTTAAAGGCTTTTTCCGAATTGATTAAGATTTAGTAGTGATATTTTTACTATGTTCTTCGGTTGTTACTACAGAGGAATATTTGAAACAACTAAGCCACCACTGCTTGGTAGAGATTTCATGGATAATATTTTTTTTTTTGTGGTTCAAAAAATGAAAAAGTTACGCGTCCATGTGTAAAATTGATTCATTAAGAGAATGTGGTTGAAAAAGAATTTGGGGGTAGAAAATGGGGTTAAAAAGAATTGATCACGTTTCCGAACTCACCATATTCATTATTATGCTAAACATCAATTTAGGTGTCAATGAAGTGACGTTAAGTAATTGAAGATGTTCAAAAATTTAATTGACACATAGGAGTTTACCAATTAGGCTACATAACATTACTCTTTTTCTAGACCATCTGAAACGCAAAATTTATAGTGAGATTAAGTTCAAGGCCTCGTAAATGCCCGGATGCATGCCTTGAACGTTGGCTTGAGGAATGGACTTTGCTCTCATGAATTTTGTAGGCTTATGAATGTGTAAACAAGGATTCAGTTGTATTTCTGCTAAATATAGTCTTTCACTGGCCAGAATAGGCATAATTTCTGCCCAACATGAGGTACTTAGGATAATGTTGTTCTCGTTACAAAGGGCAGAGAGATACTGAATGGCTGCAGCCTGCAGTTTTAGATGGCATGGGGAGAATTCAATGCTTACAAATTGACGTAGTTTTTAAACTCGACCCTGACAATGAATTGGAGAAGGTAAACGAGCCGGTTTCTAGTTAAAGTTGCTGTTTGATAGGGTATATATAGCTTATAGTCGGTCCGAGTTTTGGGTTGGTTGCCGAGTTTTTTTCAGTTGAAGTTGTCGGTCTTGTCCGATTTTCAAAACATTGCAAATTCACTTTAGATTTCTTACATAATATCAACAAAGAAAATAATAGGTTGTGACAGACACTGGAAAATTAAATTTATGTGGAGACTAAATATCAAGAAAGAGACATTTTACATTGTACAATGAATGGATGATTACAAAGAGACATAGGCTAATTTGTTCACATCTGTGTTATCGTGTACCTGTAGCCACAATGTTGGCATCAGCATATATGAATTTAACAGGCCAAGAGGTAAAAAACAGGAGCTAAGTTTAGGCAAGATTTTTAACTTTTTCAGGCTTATTTCGAATTCTTTCAAAATGTTACCTTTAATTCTGAAATTATTTTCCACCCTAGCTTATAAATTCTAAAGTTTCAAATTAAAAGCTTCAACGTTGGTAGCAGAACTTCCACCTTTATCTATGACCTCTCTAGCCAATTCCTTCCCCTTAATGGCACTCTCTTTGAGCTTTTTCACTTTTTCTCCTGGAACAACTTCTTGGGAATGAGTTCAGATGGCCATCCCTCGATATGTTTTTATCCAAACGGCCTTTGATCAAATTCTCCGAAATAAAAGAAAATTTAATTAAAAAGTGTGAGAAGCCACTTTACCCTTCTCTTGTAATGCAAATTGAAAAAGGAACTTCAAATTCAAAAACAGACCGTCTTCTCCTTCAAATTCCCGAACTTGAACAACGCCTTCGGTGGAGGGTTGAGTTCAAAATCTGTCTTCTTCGTTTCCAAACCAACTACAAGCTCCCATTTAGGAAAATCAATGTAAGTTTTCCGTGTTTTGAAATGTAAAGTTCACAGGAAATAGATTTGATTGTAGATTTTATTTATTCATTTATTTATATTTTTTTGGTTATTTTGTTTGAATGTTAGGGTTCATCCATTACTAAAGTTGATAGTTTCTCAAGGCATTATTTCCATCACTAATGTTAGGGCTTTTGGTAGCGATAGCAGGCTTCGAACGAAAATTACAAAAGATGAAAGAAACACTTGGGAGCCTTGCAAGGTCACTCAAACTAAGCAAAATGTTTACCAGAATAGGCTGATTTTGCTCAGGATTATAACTACAAGAATACCATATATATATATCCCTAAATTAGTAATCTAATTCATGTCTACAGGGAGAAGTAGAATTGAAGTAAGAGAATATAGCCTTTTCAAAAACCATATCAAAGTGCATGCAGAAATAAGATAGTGCAAGTTACTCGAGTGAAATCAATTGAGATGCAATTCTAAAGGTTTGAGTAAATCACAAATTGAGAAGGGAGGAAAGTAGGTAATTCGAACAAAAATTATAGTTCGTCGGTCCTTTAAAGCTCTACGAAGGTTAATCTGACACGCTCTATAAATGTATTTGAGAAGACCAATAAAAATGAAGATCTCATACATTAATATATATATATATATATATATATATATATATATATATATATATATATATATAAGAAAACAAGTTGATCCGACATAAAAGATGAAGACCACCAAAAAAGAAGTATGGTTTAAGATCGGAGACAAACGAGCAAATTTTGGGTTGGAAGAATTTGTATTAGCGACGGGCTTAAATGCAGGTGATAGTAACAACGTAGATAAGACATTGGGGAAAGATTGTTGGATTGTGAAATAATATTTTAAGAAAAGTGGGGAGAGGATTATGAAGGGAAAAGCCTACAATACATTTGTAAGTTGCAAGAAAAAAAAAGAGCAACAAATACAAGTTGGGACTAATCATCATCTTGGCGTTCGTCCTATGGGCCAGGGAGGAAAACCCATACATCAATTTATGATGATTTGACTTAGTGGATGATCTCTATAGGTTCGAGAAGTATCCATGGGGAAAATTTTTATTTGAATACACAATGAACGTATTCAAACGTGACATGGGGTAAATTGAAAATTTCAAATGTAGGAGGAGAGTTATGTTGTCGGTATTCGTTGCACAGATTTTCCCTTAATATAATGATATGAACAAACAATACACTTGACTCTGTATTATTTTTTTATCTAGCAATTTGAGTTGTTAGATAATAATATTTGTTTTATAATAGATTTGGGCATTCGGAGCAATTCAAAGTTTGGGAATGAAGTTTGCTACGAAATATCCGGATGCAATTCCAAGAATGGTCGCTTGGAAAATGTCGAAGAGGTTGTTATCTACCGCAATTGATAACGTGTTAGAATCGAAATAGGTAAATTGCCTTTTTATTCAAGTTTAATGGGGACAAATTTTGGAATTTTCTTAGCTTGCATAATTTAATATTTGCAGATGGAGATTAATTCAACATTGATTCCCATAGAAGTCAAACTTGAGGAGGTTTATTAGAAAGAGTTTACCCCGATCGTAGAAGAAGATGGGAATGATTCACACCATTTAGAAGGAGATACAATTAAGTATGACATCGAGTCATATCATGCATTCTACCAAAACTCTCCTAATGCCTTTCAACCACCACCGGTATCTCATGAGATGAATGTAACAGATTTAGTGAGGACGAAAATGGAAAAACTCGAGGGAATGCTACAGGGAGTCTTATCAACTCAGCTTGATCAGGTGGAGAAAAAGGTTGATAGGTTGGTTGAATTGGTTGTGGCGGGTCAATTTCATCCAGCGACCAGTACATTTGATGGTGTCACTAGTAGAACAGCTTATGTACCGAAAGCTGAACTGAAAGGCAGGTTGAAAAAAGAGATTGGATTTGATGATGTAACGAATGTGCCTATAAATGAAACGATAGTGGAAGTGCCTGAAAAAGACCCAAAGTTAGAAAAGGAGGTGAGAAAAGATAATGTATAAGGGAAGGGAACTGAGGTTGGATCTGGGGCTGCAATGGAGGAGCATAAAAAGGAAAACAATGGTAGAAAAGGGAGCTGAAAAAGAAACAATGGTAGCGGAAGAGCATGAATACGTGGAGAAAGGGATGCTTGATAATTTTATGATTCCGGAGAAACCTGAGGTAGATGCAAATGAATTCAGTCAAGTTATGTCATTACCTTCAAATTAAACTAATTTTAGAATTCTAATTGTTGGTACTTGCAACATGTAGATGACAGTGTACAAATCGAGGAAGAGGATGTAATTCACCAAAAAGAGGGGGTATCGTCCAAAGAAAAAAGTGGACTTATTGTATTCTCCCTTCATGGACCCAACAAAGAGGAGAAAGTTGTCAGACATCATCGTATACGATCCTTATCGAGAAGTGGATCCCGGGAAGGTTGAGGCTCTTGACAAATGGATGGAAATAGCATCTTATGGGTAAATTAATACATATAGTTGCAAGTACATGTAAAAGTAATGATATTATTACATAACTATAACTTTGTGTTGATTGTGTTGTATGCGCAAGGAAGTTGTACCTTTGCATTTTTATAATGTTCAAGCAAAAAATTTGACGGACCTTTTGAATGAGGATAGTTAGCTTATTGGCAACATAAGTAATCAAACTTTAATAATTTTACAATAATGTTACAAATGAATTCGATTTGTATTAATTGGTTGCTTTATACAATTGTGAACAAGGCCCTATACCAAATACGAGAAAGGGCTTTAAAATTTCCAAATTTATTCCAGCAAGATTGTTGCATCTTGGACACTTACTTCAATAAACTTGTTTTGAATGCACATGGCAAGTTGCAACCAAAGAAAGAGCACAATTTTAGTAAGAGTCTGCT